GTAAAAAAAAATATTAATATGATTAAATTTCAAGTAAAATTTTCCCATTATGTTAATTGTTTTTCTAAATTTAATAATTAAAATCAATTTTTAAAGATTTAAGGTACAAGGAAATATTTTATTATAATTGTGTAACATTATTTCAAAGTATAGTTTTCATATGTAAAATTTTGTGATCTTTATCATCTCCTCATCTAAAAATAAATCAAAAAAAATTGTGTAATATAAATGTTTTTTGAATTTACTTAAAATTTAAAAATCATTTTAGATCCTGATTTTTCTACGTAATAACCCATATGATGATAAGTTTATATCTGGATATTATTCAATTGAAAATTAGTAAAAACTAATTAAACAAAATGAAAATTATATATAATAGTTTACTATAAAAATATTATTAATAACTCTATCAAATGTAGGCTGTGAAAGATTATTTTCAATTTTTAGTTGGAATATAAGTAAAAGAAAAATAAGATAAATACTTTTTAATTATAATTAAAAATAAATTCTAATTCTAATATTTTTAGATTAAATATTAAAAAATTATAAGAACTAGCTAAACTACATACTTATTATGTTTTAAATGTTAAAAAAGAGCTAAAATTTGCTGCTTAAGATATGAATAATAATGATATTTATAATACTATGCAGGATATATTTTCTGAAGAAATTGATTTAGATAAAATTGTAAATGATAATGAAAAAGAATTTTATAAAATAGATGAAGAAGATATTATTAATATAGAAAATAATGAGCAGTATAAACTTAATAATAATAAAATACATATTAAAAAATTTTTTAATTTATATAATAAAAAATTAGCTAAATTATTAAAAACTCAAGAAATACAAGTTATTATTGAATCAAAAATTATTGATTATAGTAAAAAAGAATTTAATTTAGATAGTTTATTAGATCAAAATCTTAATAATTAGAGAATTTTTTTATTTTATATTTATAAATATGTATAAACATTTTATTATAATTTTTTTTATTTTAATATAGTAGTAGTCATAAGTATCTGACTGCCTCTAACTTTGGCTACAAGTAAGTAAATTCAAATTTTTTTTATTTAAAAAATACATAACCAATTAACTAAAATTAATACATTATGTAGTCATCATTTGATTCTATAAGTGCAGCTATACGCCTTTTTATGCTAGCTACCAAATTTGCAGCAAGTACAGGTGATAATCAATTCTATTCTTTTGTAAGTTCTCCAGGATCCCAAAAAATCTATGTATAGGTCAGATGAAAATTTCAAAATTTACTATGATCAATAAGCAAATTATTTTCAACTTTGCTAAGCAAACTCTCATTATGATTTAAGAAAATTTAACTCTACTAAGCAAACTGTTTTGTGACTTATGTATATTAAGTAAAATTTGTAGTTTCTTTATATTAAACTTAAAATTAGCATTCAAAAACTACTTTTTATGATTAAATAAAGTTGTAGAACAAATAAAATTACATATAATATTCAAATTTCAAAAGTATATAACAGATAAAAGTATTTTTTTGCACACATTTTATGAAATTC